ATATATCCAAGCAGACAAAGGATTTGTACTATTGCCAAGTCTACTGGACACTTTAATTTGGGTTCTGCCAAGAGTGAGTGAGGAACTTTGTTCTGACAGCAGAACACTCACGGGTCAAAGATCGAGTTGTGTGGCTCTGTTAGTGGTGTACAGGTTTGTTTCTCCATTTATGCTTTGGAGGATTTTGAGTTAACTCCTTAAAAGAGCTGTTCTCATGTTATAGAAGCTACCCTTGAATGATGCAGCAGGGACATCATTACGAGTGGACTTCTAGGGATGCAAAGTCAGAGTGGCACTTCTGATAGGGTTGAAACTGTGTGCAAGAGAGAGAAACTTAGGGTAGTCAGTAGAGGTGTACCTGAACCCCAAACTTCAAGAAATGTTCATACATCAGGGTTAGTTTAAGGAGCAGATATTTTAGGTCAGAACGCAGATCATCTCTTAAGGCGAAGGACGTACCGACCTCAGCATATGAACCCTCAAGGGAAAGCGTAGATGTTGACCTGCAGAAGAGTTTGGTTTCCTTCCCCCAAAAGACCCAGTGGGATTAGAGCCCTGAAGTCACGGCTGTGTGGTCGAACCCCATGAGGATTTCAGTGCGGTGTCACTCACAGAATTCAAATGGCTTAAATTATTAATTAATTTTAAGTCGTAAATTACTAACTCAAATATTTGCAAGAATTTCCTTCATGACTGCCAACTTAACTAAGACTTTAAAAGTATTTAATGAAAGCCTGGGTCTTTTATTTAAGGGCAGAAAGGCCAGACAAGAAAGGCAGAAAAAACAAAGAGAAACCAGGGCTGCTTTTTTCTTCTTCTCTTTGGATGTGTTTGTATGTATATGAATGTATTTCCTATTTGCTAAATCATCTGAGGTTTAGTCGAAGACGTCGTGACATTTCACTCCTAAATACTTCAGCAGATCCCTCCTAAGAACAAGGAGATCACCCCAATACAATGATCATACTTGAAAAATTTAATTTTGATATAATATTTTTATTCAAATTTCCCCAGTAGCCCCAGTAATGTCCTTGATAGCTATTGTTCCCAGTCAGTAGGTACACACTGCACTTAGTTTCCGTGTGTCTTTGATCTCCTTTGATCTAGATCACATTCATGGTCTTCTTCCGTCATTCATGATACTTACATTTTGAAAGCCTAGACCAGTTGTTTGTAGACTGTCACTCAATTTGAATTCATCTGATGTTTCCTCATGTTTGAATTCAAGATTCTTCATAAAGAAATAAATGAAGAGAGAAGGGGAAGGAGAGGGGTGTGTGTGTAAGAGAGAGAAGAAAAGAGGGAATGAGAAAAAAGGGAAAAAGAGATGCAAACTGATTTTATGATAAAACGTTTATCCGAAGTGAAGAAAACAGTCCAGTGGATTTATGTTTAGACTATAACCGATAAATGCTGGAGTGGTCAGTGAGGGAACATGGTGTTTATTGAGAGTTAGGGATGTCTGAAATACAGTTGACTCTTGGACAATGCAGGGATTAGGGGTGCCAACCCCCCACAGTTGAAAATCCATGTATAAGTTTTAACTTTTCAAAAACTTAACTGTAATACTAATAGCGTACTGTTGACAGTTCAAAATCTCACAAATAACATGAACAGTTGATTAACACATTCTGTATGTATATGTATTATATACTGAATTCTTACAATGAAAAGAAAATGTTGTTAAGAAACTCATAAGGAAGAGAAAATATATTTGCTATTCAGTAAGTGGAAGTGGACCATCATAAAAGCCTTCATCCTCACTGTCTTCACATCGAGTAGGTGAGGAAGAGGAGGGGTAGGTCTTGCTGTCTCATGGGTAGGAGAAGTGGAAGAAAATCTGCATGTAAGCGGATCAGTGGACTTCAAACCCGTGTTCTTCAAGTGTCCACTGTACTGTATTTAGGGCATTTTGTTTAGAGGCAAGGGAATAAGCCTTGAGAGTTTGGGTTATGTTCCAAGTTAAATGTAAGATCCACTGGGGGGAAACATTGAAACTAGTTCTTTTAGTTTATGCGTACAATAATGAGGCAGCTTATTTTTTGTAATATACGTAAACCAGTTTCTTTGGTGCCATGTAGTTCCAGCAAATTTGTTTCTTTAAAACCCTTCACCAGACTCAACAAAATTAAAAACGATCTTAAGGAGTTAATGGAAATATATAGACACTATGTCATATAGATGAGAATTTAATCTGTTTTTAAAAACCTCCAAAACAGAGATTCACGAACTACATCTTAAAAAGACATCTATGAAGGCTGTTCAGAAAGTAAATCTTATTTTTAAGCTGTCTAAAAAGAAAAAAGAAAAAAAAAAAAGAACTAGATGTAATCATCAGGTATCAAAGGCTAAGAACAGCTGAAATAAGTTTTCTTACTTGCTGGTGCGTCTCCATGTTCAGTGCCTGCGTCTCCGTCTCATCTCCCAGGCGCCGAATAAATAAAAAGCAGGGTATGTAATTGTAGGACTACTGCTAAGAAGTCACAACGTTCACATGGTTTTTGCTGTAATTTATTGGAAGCTTCGTATGCTCATTCCTGGCATTTTTTGGATTTTCTTGGTAAGGACAGAGTTGTAGAAAAACAAATGCAATGCCCTGAGTAGGAAAGGAACTCCAATTTATGTTCATGTGTTAGGTGGTCCCAATTGCTGTCCTTGGAGTCTTGGTTGGTCTTCTTACTCAGGGAGTAATTGTGCACTGAATCAGTGAGGTACAGTCTCATTTCCCCAGGTTTACTTTTTGGGATTTCCTGTTAATCCTTGAACCGGGGCAGAAGTAGACTTTGTAGTTGGCTTTTTTAAGACTCAGTGGAAACTGGGAGTTGTTGAAATCTCAGATGCCGTGGTGTTGATTAGTAAGTGAAATTGTGTGTGCAGAGAAAAATCCATTCATCTATGCTTTTATTTTTTTAAAAAACTTTTTTTATTATGAAAAATTCAGGTATATATCATTGCATAACAAACTACCACATGGACCTGTTGCCCACCTTCCACAGTGATCAACTCCTTAGTCATTTTTTTCATCTTTGTGTCTACTCATTCCTCACCTGTTATTTTGAAGCAAACCTCAGATATTGTAACATTTTATCTGTAAATATTTCAGTAGATAATAGATATTTTTTAAATAGTCCTGCTTATAGAAGAATGGTAGGTAGGTCTTTAGTGTATTCTACAAGTCAGTGCACAATTTAAGTACTCCTGTCTCTGCCGACAAGCTTTAAAAGTGCTAAATCCGATCAAATTGATCATTTGATGGGAGTGTGTGTTGTGGTCATCCGGAATGGTCGTTCATGGTGGACAGGACACCAACTGGGTAGGTCCAACAAAAGGGTGATATCACCAAAGAATTTCTGTCTTAAAGGAACCATTGTTAAGATTTGTGAGTTTTCTTTGTTCGTTGGGTCTCCTCTGAAGATAGGATAGTGAAATGAGCCCTAACTTCAAGTCTCCCCAAACTTTGTAACTGTGGATGACTCAGTCGTTTACTTAATCTCTGAAATTAAACTTTCCTAATTTTAAAAAATTGGTGTGATGCGTCCTGTCCCTGTTCACCGAACTGTGATAGATTGTGATTCGGGCTGTGATTGTGCTATAAAGATAATGGCCTGGTTACATATTCTTCTTTAGCACAAGCTTTTGCTTCTTTGAAATCACCACCGTTGAGGATTCTTAATGGCATCAGAGATACAAAGAGGGAAAAAGTAACGGTCTAGAATTTTTTTTAGGAATACTTTCGTAATCTAGGTTCATCTTTTTTTTTTTTTTTTTTGAGACAGAGTCTCACTTTGTTGCCCGGGCTAGAGTGCCATGGCGTCAGCCTAGCTCACAGCAACCTCAAACTCCTGGGCTCAAGCAATCCTTCTGCCTCAGCCTCTCGAGTAGCTGGGACTACAGGCATGTGCCACCATGCCCGGCTAATTTTTTCTATATATATGCATTTTTAGTTGTCCAGATAATTTCTTTCTATTTTTTAGTAGAGACGGGGTCTCACTCTTACTCAGGCTGATCTCGAACTCCTGACCTTGAGCGATCCACCCGCCTCGACCTCCCAAAGTGCTAGGATTACAGGTGTGAGCCACCGCACCCGGCCATAGGTTCATCTTTTTTTTCTGACTATATTTTAATTGAACATTTTATTTTTCTCCAAGTTGAGATTCATTTTGGCTCACCCAATGTGCATTATTTTTTCTCTGGGTTAATAAAAACTTTGGGAATGGTGCCTTGATCAGGCTTAATCCAACATTAATATGTTTCTCTTTGAAAGATTGCCTGGTGATCAGAACTTTTTTTTCCTTCTCTTTTCTTTTTCTTAGCCTTGCCTCCCCGATTGAAAGAGATGAAAAGCCAGGAGTCCGCTGCAGGCTCCAAACTAGTCCTTCGGTGTGAAACCAGTTCTGAATACTCCTCTCTCAAATTTAAATGGTTCAAGAATGGGAATGAATTAAACCGAAAAAACAAACCACAAAACATCAAGATACAAAAAAAGCCAGGGTAAGTATAATGCGTATAATAGCAGAGGCTGCCCCCAGCAATAAGATGATATAAAGTATAAAAATTATTTAGACCCTAATAAATGAATTTACTGTCATAACGTGATATACAATAAATGAAAAGATTTTTCATTATATAATGACCGGAAGTTGTCATCACATAGGAAAGAATTCACAGATTCTGATTATTACAACTTCTAGATGAAGAAAGGAGAACTGTAGAAGTCGGGGGAGATGGAAGGGAGAAAGGAAGGTAGCATTAGTAATAGATCTTAAAATTCAGTTTCTTTAAAATAAAACAAATGCTGTTTAGAGTACCAGTGCCTTATACAACCAAAATCCCGACTTCATTATAAAGCTCAGTAAATACCTAGAGTTGTGGAAAGAGTTGAAATGTAATCAGTTAAGTTTGGACTATTTTCAAAGGGTTAATATATATAATTATGTCTTAATGAGAATTTTTAAATAACAATTCTATTCAAGTACATTGTCACCATAGCAGATGAACAAATTAGCAAGAATCTCACATTTTCCTACCTTCCTTGAGGAGGTCCTTATTTGGAAGGACTTCATGTGGTTCTTATAACATCTTGGTAGATGTGTTCTTTATCTACTCTAAAGTGATGCTTCATATTATCCTTACA